CCCCAAAACCCCAAAACCCCAAAACCCCAAAACCCCAAATGAAGTGAGGTAAGTTGAAACTATATTAATTATTACAGGGTTAAATAAATCTTGGCAAATACCGATTCATGAATGCAATGGAGGCTGAATCAATGTCTTTATGGTTTCAGCATCTTTATTTGGCATAAGGACACTAGAAATCTCTACGCTATCATTTCTATCGGATTTTTATTCAGTAGATCAGTCTTAACAGTAGAAAATTGTTTCTTTAAGGCTATACCCAAATCTATCCTTAAGAAAATCACAAACAATACATTTATAGACCTTATTACTTCCTTCGCTTATCCTATCTCACCCAAATCTGATATTTTCTCTCTTCTAAAACCCTATCCCTGCCTTAAGATCTCCTAAATCCCCTACTATTACCAACCCCAAAACCCCAAAACCCCAAAACCCCAAAACCCCAAATTCTTTGTTGTAAACAGAATTCTTGTTCTAACAAAGCCACAGGTTTTACTGAAGTGGTATATATTAAAATATTTGTACAAAATTCTTAAAGATAATAAGCGCTTTCCGAAAATCACAGAGAGGGACTATTTTCATTATTCTTCTTAGTTTCATTACACAATTGCTTCTATTAAAACTAGTGAAGTCTCTACCCTGATTATTTAAGCTTAGAAGCCAACTCTAAGATTCTACACCAAAGTGAGATTCCCTTTACCCTTGTAAAACTGGAGATGCTAATTATACACTAAGCTTTCATTTCTCTTATGATGTGTATTATTGCTTAATTTCTTAGCGAGAAATATTGTAGGATTTAATTTAACCATTCCTGTGGACATATGCTTACGAACCCCTACTCCTTAAGATTAAAGAAGCATAGAATCATAGTAGTAATAGCCTTTACTGCACTAGATTGCTTAAAAGACGGTGAGAGAGTTGCTATGAAGTTGATTTCTACAAAAGAGGGTTAATATTTTGAATGGTTTAGCCTCGATGAGATATAGCTAAGATTTTCATGGATTCAATATAAACCCAAGAGTGTGGGGTTTTGGGGTTTTGGGGTTTTGGGGTTTTGGGG